CCTGAACCCATCCCAGATATTTGGGACCTCTCCTGACCCCATCCCAGATATCTGGGTCCCTTTCTTGGACACCTGGGTCCCGGACATCTGGGTCCCCTTCCTGGATATCTGGGTCCCCTTCCCAGACACCTCGGTCCCCTTCCCGGATATCTGGGTCCCCCTCCCGGACACCTGGGTCCCCTCCTGAACCCCATCCCAGATATCTGGGTCCCCTTCCCAGATGACTGGTCTCCTCCTGACCCCATCCCAGATATTTGGGACCTCTCCTGACCTCATCCAAGATATCTGGGTCCCCTTCCCGGACACCTGGGTCCCCAGCTGAACCCATCCCAGATATTTGGGTCCCCAGCTGAACCCATCCCAGATATTTGGGTCCCCCACCCAGATTCTTGGGTATCCCCATCCCGGATTCTTGGGTCCCCCCTCACCTGGAACTTGTTGGTGGAGTTGAAGGGCAACTCGGCCACCTTGGGGAACCGTCCCCGCGCCTCCGACACCGACCCCACCGTCACCTCGGCGAACTTCAGCAGCGCCGTCTCCGAAGCGTCACCGATGACCTCACGCTGCAGGGGCGGGGCTTAAGCGGGTGGGGCTTGGGGGGGGTGAGGGGCCCATAACCCTACATAGCACCCCTATGGGAGAGGTCTTGGCCCCTATATGCCTTTCCGAGCCCTATATAGGGCGCCTATGGGGGTCCTTGTGTTCCCCTTTCAGCCCCATATAGGGCTCCTATAGGCATCTATATGACATTTCCAGCCCCTATAGGCATCCTGGCCCCTATATGCCCCTCCCAGCCCCATATAGTGCCCCTATAGGAGTCCTGGCCCCTCTACATTTCTCCCAACCCCATATAAAGCCCCATAGAGGGTCCCTACATGCTCTCCCAAGCCCCACAGAGGGTCCCTAGATGCCCCTTCCAGCCCCATATAGGGTCCCTATACAGCCCTCCCAGCCCCCTATAGATCCCCTATAGGACCCTATATGTGTCCCACCTTGGCCACGGGGACGTTGTCTTGTCCCGGCTTGAACTGGGCCCTATTGCAGAGGGTGACGACGCGGCTCAGCATGGTCCACGTCTCCGACGATTGGTCGAAGCTTTGACCTAGGTGGGACGTAGAGGTTGG